AACCCAGGATGGGGCGCCAACCCATCACAGGGCACAGTCACACACCATTCACTCACACATGCACACCTATGGGCAATTTAGTAACTCTAATTATTATTAATATTATTTTATAAATTATAATATAATTATAATTATAATTATAATTATTTTTATGTCTTATTTCTAAAGTTTTGTTTTTTAAATGGTCCAGTCACAGTCTGGTTTTTTTTTTGCCTCACCTGTGGTTGAGCTCCAACCGAAGGTAAATCCTCCCTATTGGGCAGCTGATGCATGGGAGAGAGCTGGCCGATTCGGGTGATAATCTATAAGCCTATATTCTATATATGCCATGTATATATATATATATACACACACACACTCTCTCTCTATTAGGTTCTTGTCATGGATGGGCTTATTGGCGATCCAACTGCTACATTTATATATATATATATATATATCGGACGTGCTTCAAAGGAAACGACAAACACAATAGAAATCGAGATATTGGCTGTACTTTTATTTTAAAAACTTGTCCAGTACACAAGGTATAGGGAATGAAAGAAATTGGCTAATTTGGCACAGAATAGCCCTGTTCATTTTAGAATCATGACCGCCAGAATGTGGGAACCCAGATAAGTGCATCGGATGCCGTTTTTGGGACAAAAATTTTTTTTTCTTCTTACCGTTCTGTGACCACATTGTTAAAATGTCAATCATAAGGCGCCTATTTCTTTCTAAAAGAGATTCTGCAAGTATGAACAAACACAGGAAAAGTACTTTGGATTAGATTTCAGCAATCGTCTTGTATACGAAAAAAAGATGCATTTCATATTTGAGCACTGGGGGGCAGGCTCTAGTAAAATACCAGTCAAGCTTTCCCAGTCGACATGCAGAAATGTGGACTTCTTGGAAATGGGGTGACACTTGAAGGAATTAAATCAGTTTGCCAGAAATACAACTGCATCTGTGTGAGAAAAAAGGAAAACCATAAAAATCTTCATTCTGCCCATTATCAATGAGCGCACATGAAAACTTTAATTGTTGCAACTGATTTAATATAGGCCTATGCGATTTTACTCAACCAAGAAATCTCAACCATTTTCTTAATAACAATTTGCTTTAACCATGTGTCGTCATTATCACACGAAATAAATGTAAAATGCAAACTATAGTTTTTCAATTTATATAATGTATTTTTATTATATTGAACAAAACGTTTCCCACTTTCCATAAAAGCCTACTGCTATCTACACTGTACAATTAATGATCTTTACATTGTATACGGAATGCCCTTAAATTCTTGATATTTTCTCCTGGAAAAGCTCATCTATATTTTGATCTGTTTTTTTTAAATAGTTTGATGTTAACCTGATTTAGAGTATTTTTAATAATTTTTATCGAAACCGTCGAAATGCCAGGTCACCGTTATGCATTTAACCTTATGCATGTAACTACACCAGGAAATACGTCCCTATAAAATATCTGTTTCTGCTACATACACCATACGCGTCCTGGTCGCTCGTTTTCTAAAATTGCACCACGTAGTTTTGTATTTTTTTAAGCGATAGAAAATAGCCATTAAACTGCAAGGCTTTGATATAATGTCACGAAGCATCTGTACCTTATCATTATGCTGCTTGAGCAGAAAGAATATTAAAAAGAAGAAATGTTTAACAAAGTTATGAGTCGATTTGGACAAATACGTCTTCCAATTAAATCAATCTGAATGTAAATCTAAGTGTATTTTAATTATTTTAAATTAAATGCATGCCTCTCTTCGTGGATCCTATATTGATAAAAGCGGTAGTCATCTCATGGTCTAACGTTAATGTTATAATAGAAAATTCCCCCACGTTCTCCAGCTTTTTATCAATATTGACTTGAAAAATAAAGTACAAAAGTAACGCATAAACCGCGCCCACAGTGTCGTGGAAGCAAAAATTAACAATGCTTAATGATGCTGACAATGACGATTCCAAAGGACATCTGCATATGTGTTATTGTTACAATGGGTTGACAATGCGTGAATTCAGATTATTGCAGTTTTGCGGCATGAATTAAACAGTGACAGTGTGGAAAATGGTTTCTTGTCATTGAAGCAAAATTCTTCTTGTAAACTCTGTTAATAGTGACGGAGTACTTATAACAGTCACACAAAACGATGGTCGAAGTGCAACCTTGGATTCTCTCTGTTTCAGTATTTCAATCACCCAGAATCAAATGGGTGATTTTATTAATTTTCAATGAAATTAAAAAAAATTGCACATTTGCCTAAAGTCTAAGAAACCAATTTTCATCAACGATATAGTTTTAAATATCCTGATTGCCTTTGTTTTTATTTCCTTTTTAAAATAAATATATTACATACAGTTAAGGCAAATGTCAGTTAATTTTATCATGGTCTGCACAGCATATTCCTGGAATTTGGTGAGTGACCTCCTGGGTTGGTTCGCACAATTATTCTTGTTACTATTGGTTGAATGTCCGCCAGCATAGTGAAATGCGATACACTGTGGCTTGGAAACACCTTTTCTAAATCGGAATGCCGTGGGCGAAGAAAGTCTCTTGTGTTACAAACGGCAACGTGAAACTGTCTGACAACTTTCCAGTTGCATCACCATTACCGCCGTTACTGCCATCAATACCCACCCTACCCAAACCAGGAAATAATACGATCACTATCAAAGCCCTATTCAAACTCTTAGTCATAGACTCACCATCCCTTCCCATAAGAAGCAGCTCAGAGTCTGTGGCTGTGTTGGCCTTTCAGGAACATTTAGCAGAAGTTGTCACATGTTTTTGGCCCAGTGGATGGAGTGCAATGGTTCTGAGAAACAGATGAGTACAGGTGGGGAAGGAGAGGAAGGGGATACCATCACGCCATCCTCCTACCCCCACCTCATCCCTCAGAGCAGTCGTGTCGTCTCCATGGAAGTGGGGGGCGGGGCCGCTCAGCCGAATGGGAGCCACGGCGTCAGGATGTCCCAGTGCCTCCACAGCAGGACGAGCGTCAGGGCCAGCAGCGCTGTGGCGGCCACGCGCTCGCGCGTCTTCATCAGCGGCGTGATGAAATTGGCCAGCGTGGACACGAAGACCAGCAGCACGGCCATGAGGGCCAGGATGACGTTGATGAGCTTGCCCAGGAGGGCTCGAGCGTTGGCGTTCTCAACACCTTCCAGCTGCACCACCTGCTGCTGCTGCTGGAGCTCCAGCTTGGTGATGCGCGTCAGGCAGGACTCCACCGCCTCCTGCAAGCACACAGATAAGTGAGCTCCTCCACGTGCCAACGCGCCACACGTGGCCTACGATTGGACTTAAGCAATCAGCATTACGTCACCGAAATGCACACCCACTAGCCCGGGTGAGCAGACATAACCCGTCATTTTCCTCAAGGGTAAACACGCCCTGGCACAGGTAACATTACCTCATGGGCAAATAAATCCATAAGGCGCCTGGACTTACTGGCTTAGGTGGTGAGCAAACTGTCAAGTGACCTTCCAACCAGACACAAATGTGTGGCCTGATAAACTGCGCTTCATGTTTGCAACAAAGGCAATGTTGCAACAGTTGTTCTCCTGTGATTTTTCCACAACTATTGGCAATGGTAGCATTATTAATGGTAGTGGGTGTCCTTCACCGAACCCCCGTCACTCACCTGAATGTCTCTGGCCCTTTCGTAGGACTGGTAGGCAACCTTCTCTTCCACGCTTGCCAGCTCCTGCTTCAAGTTGCTCATTTCATTCTGGTGCAACTCTGTCAAGTCGTTGAGCTGTTCCTCCAGTCTCTCGTACCTTGGCGACAAGAGTGGGAGACTCTAACTATGCAAGCTTCAAGCTAGGCAGATGGGTAGATTTGACAGAATTATGGCAAAAGGCAGACCTACATCCAGAGGTATCCCCACCTGTATCTCTCCTCCTGTAGGCACTGGGTCATGTAGGTGTAGTCGCTCTGGAGTTGTGTCTTCATGTCTTCAATGGCATCCGCCAGGTGGCCTTGGCTGGCCTTGATGTCCCGCAGCTCCTCCATGAGGGTGTCCCAGGAGCTGTGTGTGTGGTGGTGACCATCCAGTTTGCCGGACTTGGGGCTGCCCGTGTCGGCGGCCAGGCTCGCCATGCCTCCTGCTCCGGAGTTGCTGCCAGCAGCTGAGCCTGAGGTGCTCGAGCACTCGTCGTCGCTGCCGTACTTGGGGCTGGACACCAGCGTCACGCTGCCGCTGAGGGTCCGGGGGGTCTCCTCAGGGTACGAGTCCTCCAAGGTGTCCTTCAGCTGTGCGATGTTGTCCGCGCTGCCGAACCGGTTGCGGATCAAGCTGGCAAACTCCCGCGGCTTGGAGACCACTGCTGTGTGGGACAGGGCGGACACGCCCCCTTTCACCCCTTCCACCACCCCACCGCCGAATCCGCTGATGCCAGCTCTCACGTTGGCCCCCACGTCCTTCAGGCCCTGTTGCATGTCCCGCAGCACATCCTTGGGCTGGCGGCTGGGTCCATTCTGAAGCAAATAGATAGTGTGGTACTAAGCTATCAGTGGTCTACAGAACCAGGAAATAAAGAAACACTGTTCAAAGTCCAAAAAAATCAAGGTTTGTAGACTTACGTCTATAAAACCTGCAGTATATTGGATGGGATTACCATGTTTTGTCAGCCATTGTCTGGGTTTTAACGAGCTCCCAATTTATTACACGGAATAAGGCAGTAATTGGGCTAACCACACTTTGGTGTTCCAGTCGTACTGGAAAACAAATATGTATGTTGCTCAAAGACTAAACCAAAGGATTATTTGTGATGGCAGACCTTCACCTTCTTGCTTAAGCAAAGTTAATTTTGTGAGAAGCAACCTCAAGCAGATCCTACCGAGATGGTATTCAACTCACCTGCTCAATCTCCTTCAGCTTCCTGTGGTTGTTCTCAAGTTTCTTGTGCAGTTGTGCAATGGTTTGTGCCGATTTCTGATTCTTCTTCTCAAAGACCTGCTTGATGCGGGACGCCTGCTGCTTGTCCGCGTTGTGGGCCAGCTTCAGGTACTCAGCCACGTTTTCATCGCGTGCCTCCTGCTCCACGCGGATCTGCTCCGTGATCTTCAGGATCTTCTGTTGCAGGTGCTCGATGGCCGCTCGTGCGCGCTGAGGGTCGGTGGCCTCCGGGGGCTCCGAGCTCACATTGCTGTCCGAACCGCCATGGCTGGCCGCGGTGGGGAGGGCCAAAGAGCTCACCTCTCCCTTGTCCAGCTAGGGGGCAGTGAGTGCGTAGGGAGGGGCATGAAGGGTGGCAGAAAGAGGGGGTAGTATGGTGTCAAATGCTGACAGCAGGCAAGAAGTTTACATAGAACTTCTTCTACTACAGAACTACAGATCAAAGCATTAACCTGCACTCAGTGGCCAGTATTAGGTATCCCTACACCTTGAAGGGTAGAGTTGTGTGGTTAGAGAAGCCTTTATATGCACCACTGTTGTAAAGAGCTGTTATTTTTGCACTTGCTGCCCTTCTCTTCGGACCTCTCATTAACACGGTTCTTTTGCTCACAGAGGTGCAGCTGACTGAATATTTTGTGTTTATTGCACAATTCTCTGTAGACTGTAGTACACTGCAGTGTGTAAAATTCCCGGGAGGGTGACTGTTAGACGTAGATCACGCATGTCAGCCTTTCCACAGCGTAGCTGTACAGTTAGTAACCTTTTGACCCCATCTTTCTGCAGTTTGTATTGCAGTCACGTGATTCACTGTTTGGATAAGTGGGCTGTTTGAGGTAACAAACAGGCGTATCCAAGAAAATGGCCACTGAGGCTATATATAGCACTAAATGGGCCACTTCAGGCTAATCTTTAAATGGAACACAAATTTTACTTCGGAAATTAAAAATGTCTTGAGTTCCCTGGTGGCCATCGAGTCCTTTTCCAGTGCATAGCATGATTGACATTCTCCATGCTGAGAGAAGGTCTGATATTTCCTCTCCATCACCTGTGCTGCTTATCGGGGGTCATTGTGTGCTTATCCCAGGAAGCACAGGACAGGGGTCACACCCTGGACATGATACCAGCCAATCACAGAGCACACACACATACACACACAGATTGGGTACCTATATCTTTGTGGGGACTCTCAATTCATTTCTATGGACATAACCCTAATCCTAACATGACAGCCTTATCCCCTACCCAGCCCTACGGTTAACCATAAGTAACCAAACAAAATACAAGACTTTTGGAATTTTTAGTTTTTTGATTGCAGGCACATATTTTTGTAAAATTGAGGTTCCTTTTGTGGGGACCAAAAAATGTCCCCAAAATGTGATAAAAAAAAACTCAAAATGCCAAAGGTCTTGTAATGGATACATGACCACATACAAACACACTGATTTAAGTAACTGCATGGTTTTGGGCTGCAGGAGGGAAGCAGACTACCTCGAACAAACCGGCGATGATTATAGAGGGAAAAAGAAAACATGCAAACTGCACAGGCAGAGAACCTGGGTCAGGAACTGGAGTCTCAGCCCTGGAATTACGAGACAATACTGCCAGCAAAGCAGCTGCCACACTGGCCTGATATCTCCCACACTGGCCTGATATCTCCCACACTGGCCTGATATCTCCCACACTGGCCTGATATCTCCCACACTGGCCTGATATCTCCCACACTTCATGCTTTGCCATGTTTCCCGTTTAGTCGCTTAACTGATGTTTCGTGGTGTGTGGGAAGGTGGAAGCAGCTCATCGACCAAACCATGCAACACAAAGTGTTTGGGGAAAAAAGGTCTAATGTTTTAGGACTGTGATATGAACATCAGAGGAAAGACAAGCAACACACATGCTGCTTGCTGCTGCAGAAAGCAACAGAAAGAGGACACACTCATACAAACAGGACTGCTGCTTGGGCTGACCGCTCCATGGTGGGCTTTCCAGAATTTACCACAGTGTGTTCATGTCTTATTTCCTGGCCACCTTTTCATTTCATCTTTCAAGGAGGTGAAACGTGTTTATACAGTGATTGCAGCCGTTGTACTGAGCAGGTTTGTGGAGGCGCAGAGCCTGCCCCAAGGATCATAGGGGACGAGGACGGGTGACGCCCTGAGGCGCGGAGCCTGTCCGAGGGATCATTGGGGACGAGGAGGGGTGACGCCCTGAGGTGCGGAGCCTGTCCCAGGGATCATAGGGGACGAGGAGGGGTGACGCCCTGAGGCGCGGAGCCTGTCCGAGGGATCATAGGGGACGAGGAGGGGTGACGCCCTGAGGCGCGGAGCCTGCCCCAGGGATCATAGGGGACGAGGATGGATGACACCCTGCAGGTGATGCCAGCTCACATATATGCATGCTCAAACACACAGTCATGCAATACGGGCAATTTAGAGACAATGTGCCACATTTAACCATTTTGCTTTTGTTTGTATTTGAGTCTAAACAGTATAAGCAGTATGAGGAAAGAAACCCGGTAGGGGAATTCCTCAGTGAGGCTGGTGGGGAATCCCTCAGTGATGCTGGTGGGGAATCCCTCAGTGAGGCTGGTGGGGGAAATACACCATTCTTATTTTTCTATACATTATTTTTCACATAAAACATAAAATAAATTCTGTGTGCTCTCATTACCATGTGGATCCTGTGTTTATTTTTGCACCCAGATTACCCATCAGATTTCCTGTTACAGTCATTTGGCTGTATTTAAGCTCACAAGCCTGGGTCACAAAACCTGCCTGCTGCACACAGCACTGAACAAACACCCTGTCAGTCTGTCATTTTCATATGGTGCTTGTTTGTTTCTCTATTTAATGCTGCCTCTCAGGAGTTCCATTATATTTGTTATAAAATGAATGTGTCTTTTTGCTTGTCAAAATGTATCTCATGTAGTTACTTTAACGGATTTAACAAATTTAACAAATTTTTGGCCAGTTCATTTCAATGAAACTGAAAATGAGGTTCTGCTATTGTCCAGTTAATTTCCGGACAGTTACAAAATGCTGACTCTCCATGTGAACATGTCGATATTTGAGATGGGGACTACACCAGTCCGACTGTCACCATGCCAGATGTGTCACGCGGCCGGCAGGCAAGATTTCACTCTAGCTCAAGGATAAAAAGGAGCTTTTAGGCTTCAAGCACCTTATGATGTAGACAGACTGGGAAAGGCCTGACCTGAGGTTTCCTTTCGTGCACAGTTTGGAAATAAAAGCTGATTTATTTAAAAAGAATCTCTGGGGTGTTAATAAAGAGCTACTCAAAGCAGATCAGAACCTGAATTATGCAGAAGCATGCTGACCCACTGCATGACGGCATTATGTACAATAGTACCACACATCTGTCTTCCATACCAGCTTATCCAGTATTAGATTGAGCCACAGTGTGACAATCAGCCTGGAACCAAAGACAGAAAGCAAAGGTACACATACTATGGGCAATTTGGCAGCATCAGTTTCACTAAAGCACATGTTCTTGAAGTGTGGAAGAACATGACAGAATGCAGTCTCCAGTCATAGTTCCCACAGGCAGGATATGGACCAACAGCACAAGGTATAAGACTGCAATGCTAATCACTGACGCTATGCTAAGTCACATGATCCTGCTGCTATTTCTCGCAAAGTCATTTGCCCACTGGCTTGAAATTCTACAGACTTCTAACCAAGCGATTCATTCGAAGGGTGGTGTAAACACTGGAAGGCTGGGGAGGCACACTGGGAGAGTAATGGCGACATGGATCCTAATTAAATCTAATGTGCCTGAGCCATTTACGGAACAGTCCTGCAAGCAGACGGGGCACTGCGGGTCAATATATCAATAGCATCATTAATCATGATTAATCTGCAGGGAGCCCTACAGAAAGAGCATGATCAAGGGGAGTCACTCTGCAGATATGTTAAAGTAAACAAGAAATGGATCCTAACAAAATGATGTCAGACACTACAAATAATTAAGTGAAATGGAAATTAAGGATGAGCAAGAATAACTAAACAGATCAGACAAGCAATGCAGTGAGAACAACAAAGCAAAAACAAAATGCATTAGTGTGTGTATGTGTGTGTGTGTGTGTGTGTATGTGTGTGTGTATGTGTGTGT